AAAAAATCAAATCACATTTAAAAATACTGGCAACCATTGATGCTACCCCTCAGCCTCCTAGTAGATATACCTATGGTACTGATTTCAAAATCCTATGTCATCTTGTTCTCAACCATATTCACAAGATTTTCAGAAAACTTACTCTGACCTTGAGACCTGCTCACTGAGATTTGAACTATGTTGCCTCATTCTCGAGCTATCACATACACAAACTTAGGTGTCCACGCCGTCCACTTGTCCGGCGGAGCGACGACAATACTCCATCAGCCTTTTATGACTGAAGTGTAAAAACTTTATTCCTATCCCAATAAACTATCACAGTAAAAAAAAAATATAAACGAAAAAAAAAAGTATGCTGGTTTTAAATAATTAAAAAAAAAAGAAGACATGTTTGACCATGTCAGTGCCTTTGTCAAGGATCAGTTGGTTGTATCCCTTCCACAGATCCAAAGCGTGATCTATCAGAGCAAAAAAACTTCGCAAGATAAAGTAGTACCACTATCTAGTAGTGTCTCTAAACCTCATTCTGTAAGGGAAAACAAGGCCAAATGCTTGGAGTGGCCTGGACAATTTGACTACACCCTCCAGAGGAGAAGTACCTCTTGATTTTTTAAGAGGCCTGACATACCTTCTGGTTTTCATCTCTGTGGAAAAAGATTCACACTACAGCAGGATAATGAACTCAAACACATAAAGGCTTCACAAAAACTACTTGAAAACCAAAGAAGACCGAGAAGTGCTGCTGACTATCCTTCACAATCTCCCACCTCAGTCTCATTGAACATTTATTTGACACTCAAAGACAAAAAGGTCTGACATACAAAGAAGCTTTCTGGAGTATTATCAGATGACACTGGGATGGCATGCTAGCTTGTGAGTGCTGGAAGGAAAGCAAAAAGTGAAACCCATGATATGACTCTCATTCTGATATTACTTGTAATGGAAACATCTGTACTGATTTCAATAAAAGCATGTCCCTCAGTGCTCTTCCTGCATACACACTGGGGTTTTAAAAATACTGGGAACTAAAATGGGATTTGTTGTCAGTCTGGCACAGTGCTAGAAATTACTTACTGATGTGAAATTCATTTTAAATGTTAAAAACTGTGTTCAATTTGAGCAATAAACATCGCGGAAATGTCGAGCTGTGTTACAAATTGATTTATTGCTTTTTGGGAAAACGTGTTCGCAGGAGAGGTCACCGTGTTCCTGAGGAAATAAAAGTTGTTTGCATTAGATGTCAGTGCTACAGTTGTACCCTCAGGCCATCTGAGTACATAGAGCCATAAACGTACGTGCATGTGTACACACAGACACACACAAAAAGCAAGACAGCTAGCACACCAGCAACAGCATTAATTTGTGGCACCCTCCTAAAAATATTGCATGTTAAGGTTGGCGCCTAGTTCTTAGAAAAGGTTAGACTCAAACTATAAAATAGACCCCAAATCAAAAACCATGACAGCTAAACCACTGCAACATCCATCCATCCATTTCCTCTCCTTATCCAATTTAAGGTTGCGGAAGGGGGAGCAGGAGTCTACCCCAGCTGGCATAGGGCGAGAGGCAGGGTACACCTCAGATAGGTCGCCAGTCTATCACCGGGCCAACTCAGAGGGACAGGCAACCACAAGCAACCATCAGATTCAAAACTATGGCCAACTCATATCCTCCAATTAACTTCATGCCAGGTATGTCTTTGAACTGGGAGAGGAAGCAGGACAACATGGAGAGAACCAGACACTTAAAACCCCATGACCATCTTGCTGTGAGGCAATGGTGCTAACGGCCCCATCACTGTGCTGCCGTCCTACTGCAACATATTACTAAAACAATCCTAGTTAACAAACTATCTTAATAACATCTACATAGAATTGCATCCATTTGGCTTAATTAAAGATTGCATCTTTGATAATCCTGCTTCCAGCAATACAGAAGAGGAAACATGAATTTGATGTGTGGTGAATTAAAACGTAACATTTAAAATTTCAACTGCAAATTTTTCCCAAAAAAACAGCACTAAGTTGACTCTGAATGATCCAGAGTATTTCTGGTACAGATACAGCATTTCACAGACGGGTCTGTTTAACAGAATAAGGAGGAGACTGAATAAACAATAACCATAATAATAACAATAATAATTTTTCTTTGTGCTGATATTGTCACCAACATAATGGAAATACTCATGTTATGTTGTGAAAATCCAGCACTGAGACTGCAGCTGGTGTTCTGGCTCGGCAGTGAGTGCTTAGAAAGACATCAGAACAGTCCTTCTGAACACACCGGCCATTATTCATTTGCTAACCATGCTGTGTCAGAGGGGGGCCCTGGGAGTCCAGTCTACCATTAGTGCTTTGATCTTATGTGCCCTCACAGCCAGCAGCCACCCACACTCCCACAGGATCACCCTACTCGCAATTTCTCCTGAAAGGCCTGCAGAGACTCTCGTACGCACGGGCTCGGCCCACTGTCACCTTGCCCCAGTGAAAAACATACAGCAATGATGAGTTTATTTTAGCTAACAGTGCTTCAAGGGCTACAGTGGCAAAATGTCCTTGAAACAGAAAGTGGTAATATGTGTTTTATGATTTTTAAAAGGTCTTTCCCTCCTGCAGTACTGCGCAAAAATATAAGAAATTAAGGGTAAAATAAGGACGTTTAAAAAAAAAAATGCAATGAATCGTTTTCTTATTTACTAATAACTTCTGACAAAGTACAGCAGACAATACTAATCAATACTTCACATTTTTCACAGTTTAAGTACTTGAAGATGATGGTTGATCCAAGCGTCGTGGAAAACTTGCTACAGCTTATCTATGGATTTATTCTGTCTTTGCTGCTTTTAATTCTAGATTGACTAACTTAGATCCTTAACATCTAATTCATAAATTCTGTATTGATTATTAATTTAGAATCAATTAATAGTACAGTATTATTTACACTGTAGTTTGTGGTGTGTTTTTAGGTGACTAAGTAATTGTGCTACTTTGCGATGCAGAAACACATCACCCTTTGCATATAATTGTATATCTGCCATTTAACTTGGTGTTACTTGTCCAGACTAACTCATAAAACTTCAAGCTGCAGGGAACAGCTGAGATTGGGTTATGCCACCATGTGGTGAGAAATATATGACTGTAATACTGTGATATGATATTGCACATGTTTGCATTGTTTTTTTGCAGTTTTCATTTCATAACTGTCAAACGCCTGCGAGCCATGATCATGAAGCTGGTGCTACTGCTGCTGCTTTTCTGCAAACAGACTTTAGCTACATATCATATTTAAGATTTTTAAGCTCAAAAACTCGAAAGTATACATAACAAGCTGGCAAAAAAGAAGATCAGTCAGCCTTTTCTTACCGACATCCATGGCTGTTTCCATGAAACTCTTCTGCCTGGAGGCAAATTCAGCAAGCAGTTTCTGCTGTCTCTCTCTAGCCCTCTGACGCCTGAAAGAAAGAAAAACAGAAATTTTTTGGTAGATATGAAGTAGTTTGTTTGATAGGTCACTGAGATCATAACCAAATAAATGCCATGTGTCTATATTTTCATATAATCTAATCAACTACTGAAAGAATTTGCTTTAATTCCCCCGATCAGATTGTTTTGAGGGAGATACAATCGGTCCTGTGATAAATGATTGTCCCTCATTTACAGAAACAGCCATTTCTGATGGAAAGTGTTGCATAATATGGTGATTTTTTTCTTCCTTTTAAGAGGATTTATTATTAGTTTTCCCCTTCGAATAAGTGATCCCTCAGTATTCTGGGAAAAGTATGCCTGCTGTGCAGAGCTTGCTTGATCACCCATAGCATGTGCATGTAACAGGGGCTATTTTCACACACACAGGATGTGTCTGATTTCAACAAGGCTGCATTTTTAAAATTTGGAAAGGCTGATTATTAAGCTAATCTGGTGGGTTTAGTTCTCACCAGTGCATACAAAGGCGAGAGCTGACTGTAAATTAAGTCCCTAATAAGAGGACATAAACAAATGCTGACAGGAGTGTCACAGCTCAATAGTTTCACTGATGGCTTAAGGGGTACCGACAACCAGACTGAAGAATGGCCTTCTTAGTTCTCACTGCCACCGCCTATATTGCTGTGTGACGGACACTGATCTAGTTCATGGGAACAGAAGAGGCTGTAACTTTAATTTTAGCTGTGGGGTGAAGCCAACCAACCCCAGAAGCAGACTGTTATCAAATCGCTATAAGCCGTTCCATCATCATTAAAGTAGGGGAAGGAGAGGACTAGTGGGTGAATGTGTGGTGAAAAGGCAAATCCTGCACATTTTAACTTTTCACACAGTCAATGGAGTGCATTTCCATTCAAGTACAAGATGTACAAAGTCAGCAGCAATAGAGCCACTATTTATGTGGATTTATATCAAAATAAGAACATGTGAAATCATTACATTAAAGCACACATTAAAGCGTATCTGCATCTTGCACATCTGGACCTCTAGTCAAGATAACTAGATTAAATATTAAAGATCTCTTTATTTACACTCACATGTCTTATAAATGATAACAATACCATGACTTCAAAAGGTTCGATAAAGATCAATTATTGAATCCAATATCATAAAAACATAACAAAATACTACTCAACAGAAATTAAGAATAAAGTTAATGATGTAGCATGGAGGTGTGTAAATGAAAATCTGTGAAGTTATAATTACCTCTCTTCTTTGTCCATGGCTTTCTTGTCAGTGGGACTGTTCTTCTTTGGTGGTACTGGTGGACACACCTTTCCACAAATGTCCTGGATGCTACGCTTGATTTGGCAGCTGCGCGTGGCTGCCTTGGTGAGGATACGTTCAATGGCTGTTATGCCGTCTCCGTGAGCGAGGCGGTTTGACTCGATGTCCTCTAGCCAAGATGCCGACAGAGAGTTCTGCTTAGACGACATCTTTTGGTGGAGCTTGATGAGGAGGGACAGCATGCTTTCACGGATCTCCAGGATCTCTGTGACCAGCTGCGGGGGCGTGCCTGGCGGAACCCAGCGTGTCGAGGAGCTCTTGGGCCTGACAGCCTGCGTGGCTTCGGTGGAGCTGCGGTTGATTATCTCTTGAAACTTCCTCCTACGTTCTGCCACGAGACTGAACACCTGAGCTTCGCGAAGGTTCTAAGAAAGCATTGAAGACAAACATTTCTTTACAAAAAGATGAAATATTTGGCCAATATAGTGAGGCACCATTAGATCAAGAACCATAATCCACTATTTATCAATTAAAGTACAGGAATCTAGAAGAACACACATGAATAAATATTACATATCACACGTGAAGCTCACAATAAAGAGAAACATGACACAGCTCTTCAAATTTCACAATTTTTTTTATGGAGCACCTAGACCATTTCCAATTATTAATATAACTAATAGTCTGGTCGACTTTGATGGATTGTAGGTCGGTGTCATTACCATATTCAGACGGGAACGTGCACGTAAAAGTCAAATAAAATGTTCATTATTTCAGCTGACATTTTATTAACACTGCAGCTGATAGCGCTGGGACAACCAGACTCCTAACGAAAATTCAAATACAAGCCATCTGAAGGATTGCCCTGACCTGACCTGACATAAAAAAAAGCACCTGAGCTGCACTGTTAAATAAACATACATCATACAGCCCAGTCAAGGGAACATCAATCATTCTGACATGCGGTTAAAAAGCGTTTACCCCAAACCTGCATTACACACGTAATTAGTTTCAGCAGTCAAGAGGGAGGGGAACTGCTGAAGCATAGCATTACACACACATACACACACCATAACACAACAAGACAGACCTCCTTTGAAATGCATCACAGAAACACATACAAGAGAAGTCTTTCAAAGTAGAGATAAAACAAAGGCTAATGCAGCTGATTGTTTCATTCGAGCATTAGTCTTTTCATAGAAATGAGTACAAACAGCTACCTCTCTCCAATTTCCTGAAAGACGCCTGGAGTTCTGTGGAACGAGTAAAGTAATGATGATATAAAAGTGGTGCATGAAGCAACCAGTAATGCAAGATAATAAATAAACCACATGTTTGACAGGACAGAGCTAAAAGAAGAGTTACACCCTCACTTCCAGACTAATAGATCACTAAGGCCTACAATCAGTCAAAATCTGCTGTGATTCCCATTTAGGAAGACAAAGTTTTTAGAGAATAAATCTATATAGTGGCAACAAGCCAAAAACTATCCAGACCATCCAAAACCCCATCAACAAGAGAGAGACCTTCTTTAAGTGACTCTCAGCTACTTTTTTGATTTTATCTTAACAACAAACTCTTTATTCAGAGCATTTAGTTCCATGTAGGATCACCCCTAGTGGTGCGGTAAGATATATTCTGAATACAGCATCTGATGGGTAATTTTATTTATTTATTAAACACATTTTAAAGCAGTAATATTTTTAGCAAAAACCCTTGCTTTCTCATTCCTTTTCCATAAATATGATGCAAGCTGGCAGTTAGCTTAGCACAGAGGGTGGAAATAGGAATGTAACTCAAATTAATTTAAAGTTAATGTAAACAAGCACGGCCTGTCACCGAGTTTCCTTTTACCTGGCCATAAGAAGAAGCTTCGGTGCTGGTGCTGGGAGGTGCCTCTCTCTTTACCTCTGGAGCGGTCTCAGGAACCCGCACTCTGACAAAGTTGATGACATGGTGCAGATTGGAGAGGAGATTGGTGCCTGGGAACCAGCTGTCGTGACAGTGCTCCTCAATGCAAGGCTCCTAAATTAAAAAAAAAAAGGAAGAAGATGACGACGACGACTCAGTGAGAAACTGGTTGGCATTAGGGGCTTGGACAGTGAGAAAAGTGGTTACAAGTTAAACCAAGCAAATTGTCTTACCTCATCCTCCTTGTTGTCTTGAATCTGGTTGTCCAAACCCAGTTCAATCAGGTACAGCACCATGCACAGCACGTGTTCAGACATGTTCTGATGATCCATCCAGATCTAGAACATGATCAAACCATTAGCTTACCCCAGAGAACAAATAACACAAGGTTTAGCTGTCAATGTGTTTGCTTTTTTTTTTTTAAGTTATTATGCATCCATAGATCAGCTTCTCATTACTGATACCAAGCCCTCAACTGACCAATGAATTTGTATTCTTAAATATATCTTGCCTGATCGATACTATGAAGATGTTTATTTGGTGATGCGCCAATTTTCAGCACCAGTTGCAAACCAAGTCATCCTACAAACTGCAAAGAGAGACGATGGATATGGCTGTTTTATATGGCACTGGTAGTGGGTGAAAGACTCACCTTGTACAGTAGAGTGAATATCACAATGTGCAGCGTCTTGCAGTGCAACAGCCTTATTAGACCTTTGTAACATGGGTGCAGAGGAGTCCTCTCCTTGTATGGTGGCCAGGGGTTGCCAGTGTGAATGCCAAACTGTTTCAAACTAGTGGACATCATCATCAAAAAGGAGGCGAGAAAACAAATCAAAAAAGCAATTACTAGCAATAATCAATTTTTATACTCATTACATATCAAGTTATAATGAGAGAAGTCAGAGTTATGTTGGGAGTTTGGGGAAGTGACACCGAATGCTGTTCAGAACAAATCACTAAAGATTTCAGTCTACACAACAGAAGAGCCGAGGGGCAGCACTCTATTAGTGATGATGGGATTATTATCACGCGAGCCAGGGCGAGCCTGACATGTAATCCATCATATTCAAACAGTGTGAATGAGCAACATGAGGCTGGTATCAGACTCTGAAGGTGGCACAGGCAGCTTCAATATGTCTGAGAGAGAAATATGCTCTAGTTTCATCTGTACTGGACACAAAAACTGAAGAGAAAACTGAAAGCATGTAAGTGAAAGAGGCGGATGAGTGACCCATCCATGAATTACAAAGGCTCTAACCAATTGCCATTTCAAACACAGAAACAGAGCAAGCCCCTTTTAGTTTAATGAGTATTTTCAGAAGCCAGAAAGAAAATTAACCCCCAAAGTATCTCCTTCACCTCCGCTGACATGTTTATCCTTGGAGACGTCTGCAGGACAATCAAAAAAAGAAAGACTTCCACAACTGCATTACAATTTAGCCTGAAATATTGAGCTCTCTCGACACCAATCTAATTGGAATCACTTCAACACCTAGCAGATCTGACCTTTGTAATCATGTCCCTTCACCAGCAGAAAGAGAGACGACCTGATTTTTGTCATGACTGAACATGAAAACGGCAACAAAACTACTGCCGAGCAAAGGAAACATTTATACAGAGTTTAGAAGGTGACAGAAAACAGAAATGTGTGGGGAAAATCAAACTTACAATGCTGCATATCTGTCCATTGCTGACTGGACATCACGGCGATAGACTGTTCTGAGAACGACCATGATGGGGTCAAACTCTTTCTCCCACACTTCGGCTAGTGAAAAAAAGGAAGAGAAATGCTTTGCAATCTCTGGTACAAAGTGACACTGTTTCACATTTTCCCTGTTTTTCACCTTTCACCATCATAAGTGGTGTAAGTCTGCCCCCAAGTGGTGCCCTGAGGACATAGATCTAGTGCAAAAGATTGAGCCCCATTCTTAACTATGACAGGGAGCGGTCTAAAAAGCAATAGAATAGATTTAACAAATGTTAGTTTTAAAGTGACAACATTTATTCTTTCCGTGAACTGGATAAGACAATTAGTTATTTCACAAGAAGGCACCAACCATAATGTGTGTATATTACCTCATATGCTTCTTGCTGGAGAACAAAGTAAACTCCCTAGAAATCAGATATCAGCTTTGTGATTAAAATGACTGCTGTTGGTTTGAAAAACTATTTGCTGTAAGTTCTAGGCCATAAAACAAAAATAAGACAATATTTGGTGATAAAAATATATATATTTTATCATATTTTCTATTCAAAGCTCAGTGACCAGCTCATTAGATCTAGCCTTAGAAAGCTCTTAAATATTACAGTCTTTTTGGGTGCTGATTTAGCTCACTGGGTCGAGCAGGCAACCCATTAGCTGCAAGTCTAAAGCACAGACCCAGGTTTGACTCTGTCCTGACGCCTGTGTCTCTTCCCCCTGGTCTTTCTCCCAGTTTCCCTGTGTTATCTTGGCTATCCTATCAAATAAAGGCTAAAAAGCCTCCAAAAATATATTAAAATATTACACGCATTCTTAAAGCTAATGTTACTGTTGGCCAGTGGAGGGCAGCAGACATATCTTCATGCTGCTCAGATGATGATGATGCTATCACCAAGCAGAAAGCCTTCAGCGAGGACATGAACCCAGAATTGTTAAAACCCACAAACAAGCCATGAACTAAACACCAGTTATTTGCAATGTTGTTTATTTCCGTCCCACTGTGACTACAATTGTTGATGAAAATTTTGTTTAGCTGCTGGTGGAAAAATGTCTAATAGATTCTTAGGTTTCATATTTTAACTAAACTACTTCTATGACAATATCAACGACATAGACGCAATTCTGTGTAACGTCTGCCTTTACCATATCAGACATTTCTGTAAAACCTGTAACAACACTTTTATAAATATCTGTTACTTTTTTTTTAATGATCTGTTAGGAAATCCTGCCTTCTCCTTCACCAGGATATCCTACCTTTGGGTGTGTACATGCCCTGCTGCATGGATCCTCCAGGCTCAAACACAGGTGCTTTGAAGTCGGCTACAGCAGAGAGCATATCCTCAAAACTACAGCTACCGGGTACAATGCCACTCTTTGGGTTGGGATTTTCAGGAATCTACGAAAACTCTCTTAAGGAAAAATAAAACATATATAAAAACATATATACTGTGGATAAATGAATACAGTTTCTCTTTAGAAAGTATTTGTTAATGACTGAAGGATACAAGGTCTAAGAGTGCGCTGTGCGTACGATCGTTCATGCACAACTGAGAGACCATTTCCGCCCGAAGGATCTCATCATCGGTCATCCCTGTCGGTGAAAATGAGAAGAAGAGCGTAAAGGCAAACTGACAGTGAGGGGATCTGACTTTCACCAGTACAGAAACTTGACAAAATAGGAGAAATGGCTGACAATATGTAATCTTAAAAATTTTAGTGCTGGCTATCTTGGCAATAACCAAGTCAGAGGTGGTTACAGGCCACAGAGTTACAGAGTGGGGAAACAAAAGAAACTTTTTGTTTTAATAAAGGAATCAGGCAGTGCTGTTAACTGCCCACATCATGAGTCAGCAAACCACGGGACATGTGGTCAGGAGCGAGTCGGTTACCTCGCTATGGTAACTGACCGGCTGAAACCCAGAGCCACTGACCACTGTCACGATTTGCAGATGCTTTTCTGATTATGAGTGAAGTAGTAAATCGTAATCTCACTGACAAACATGTTACATTTCGTGCCACTGGAGAAGATATGCTCACAATTTGTGTTTCAGGAGCTAAATACTTTTTTAACCTAAAGCCACTATACTGGTATTTTTTTTTTTCCTGGGAGCTTACAAAGTTTATAAAAGTACAAGTGTATCACTGAAGCACAGGCTCAATCACCGGTCGGTTACATCTTTCTGAGACCGTAATGAAACTGACATTTAATTTTATGTCTTAAATAAATGAATAATTAGGAACAACTTACAGGTCTATTCTTTCAATAAATTCAAAATGATTTATCTATGAAAAATTTCAAGATTGCCACTTTAAACACCAGTAAGAGCTCAGTTTTGAGGTTTGGCAAGATAATTATGAACTGAGGAGTTTTTATTAAAAAAAAAAAAAAAAAAACAGACTGTGACCACTGTCTCTTTAACATAATGCAGTTTTGTAATGCAGTGTTCAGTAATATGGATGAATAAGTCAGCAGAACATCTGAAAGCACTATCTCCCTAGGGAGAAATTGTATCACAGTTATATTTCAATATATGCAAAGAGAGGAGTGTCAATGAAGGCCTTTTGCGTCACAGTATAATTTACGAAGTCCTTGGTTATCTCCATGAACAAATATTAGAAATAGTTCAAATGATGTTTTCAGCCAAGTAAAGGACTTCATTGGAGAGTTTTACATGAAAAAGTCACTTCTTATTGTAATACAGCAAAGAAAAACACTTCTGGGATGAGTGCCAAATACAGGAAAACTGCACCAGCAAAGAGAAACAATGGTTACATGAATTCGTGCCAACAGCGACACGACCTACCAACTATCAACACCTCGCAGAGCCTCAGCAAATGATTTATTAGCTCTAGGGTAACTCTATATACCGTAAGGTAGTTTGCTACTCTGATAAAGATGCTGCACAGCCCTCTGCTGTACCACTCACCCAAATGAATGCGAAGGCTTGTTAGTATGACCAGAAAGGTAAGTGCTCCTTCTAGCATTGGTCTCTCTTGCTCAGAGTCCAACACGGCATTCTGATGCTGAGACGCCATGGTCAACAGGTCGACTACTTTAAACCTGCATCAGAGGACAGTTTATAAACCAGATGTTACCCATCTGCAAATGTTAAATGTTTTATGTAGCATAATATTATCAGAAATAGAGCTTACCTCTCAAAAACACTTGAGATAAAGTAGTCAGGGTCTAGTCTTGATGCACAAACCTTGTATTAATAAAAGAGAGAAAGCAGACTTAACAACTAAATAGAAATGACAAAAGAAATATATACACACACACACACACACACACACACACACACACACACACGAGTGACATTCATAGCAAGCATTGTCTGTGAAGCAGGAGTCCTCACCTGCAGCAGATAGATGTCAGGATCAATCATGGAGTTGCAGAAGTGTGACTGCACGTAAGTCATAGCCTGTCCCTTAATCTGCAGTCCATTCCTCACCCACATGTTGCTGTGGATTTCTGACAGGCACGCCTACAGTCACATAGAACAAAGTGTTAATTGAGTGAGGAGTCTCTGCAGACCAGTGTTAGACGTGGTAGGCTGGAATCACTTAACCTTCTCCTAACCTGAAGCCACGTAGTCTGCAAATACTTTTACTTGTTACAATAAGCGCATGGACACAGATGTGCATTAGACATGCAGGTAAAACCAAATCTATTGTCTTCCACTGTTATACCTGGATCTGGAGTGGATGCACCATGATCTTCATCAACATCTCTTGGTCAGGAAGGAGGCTGTCCAGATCCAGTCCTTGGCATTTTACAGCCTGGGGATTTTGAACCAAACAATTAACTTTAAAAAACACATAAACACAGACACCAAAGAGAATAGATTGTGCACTAAAAGATGAGGTGGCATACCTTACTGAGGAACATGGCGTAGTAGCGGTGGAGTGGCAGGTGAAATGTCACTTGATTCGGAGCAGGCTATGACAGATATTCAGACATTTATGTGAAACAGGGGAGGGAGAAGATTACTTGTAAATACAGCAGTTTGCCATTAATATACCTCATCAATGAAGCCAATGGCATCAAACCAGATCTGCAAGGTCTCCAGACAGTATCGAACCACAGTTTTAGTGTATTCCTGTGTTTCCTGGTAACACATAAAATCAGATGTTAAAAATTTGATATTGTATTATGTAGTAAGTGATAGCAGTTTGGGGTGCTTATAACGCATGCTCCATTAATCCTGTGAGTGAGACTTACTTTGACTTTGCAGTGTGTTAAGAGACCCCACATTGGTTGTGCACAGGCCTCAAGCTCTGCTGCGAATGCTGCATAGTACGTCTGAGACTCAAATTCCACATGTTCATTCAACTCCCGCTTATTCAGATTCATACCTATGACAGCAGCAGAATGGTTATAACCTGTTATGCACAACTTCTCAATGCACATAAAAAGTTTAAAATACAAGTCTGCGTTTTTAAAATTCAAAATTTCCCCTCATATTTATATGTAACATAATAAAATGTCAACAAGTATGTGAATTACAAAACTCTCTATTGAATGTGTCAGTTTGTGGCTTGCATGGATACAGGGTAATAGTGACACTGTCCTCATAGCGTCAGCAAGAGGATACTCGGGCCCACTATACAAGGCTGAGCGTTATTTTTAGAATTGTGGTAGAGTGCAGTAAAAAGCCAGCAGCACCAACCACAATTCAAATCCAGTGATAAAGAATCTATCACATCACAACTCTGCTTTTTGGTTGAACTGTTTAAAAGGAGGGCAACAAATCTCCTTCTGAATAAGCCCAGAAGTTTAAATAAATCTGCAGGAACACACTTTTAAATCAAGCGTTGTGTTTGACCTGACTGTGACTGAATAACAAAAACTAGAGGTATTACACTGACATCCATGTGGTTTGATATCTCTGAACCCACCATATCAACAATAGATGGGATACAAGCATTGTCTGAAATTAACTTTCTGAGTCACAGATGAAAATACTCACTAGCCTCACACTGACTATAATAACAAAATCACTTTTGTGGTGTATGTACATTTGTTTGAGTACATTTCATTGGGATAACATAGCATTAATTTAACAAAGGACGCTAGGGGAAAATTTGAAGCTTTTTTCTTTAAATCAAGAATTAATTAATACAAGCCTCAATCTAATCCAATGATCTTAAAGTGTCAACATCTGCACCCTTAAATGTACTGAAAGCTCAAACATAAAAGTACATTCAGAGGTTTTTTAAAACTACTTTATGCTTAATCAGCTTCTCATTGAACTCACTCTACATCTGCTGCTGACTGGTCAGTGGTCATTTTCTGGTTGTGGTATAATTTAATCTATATGCTGTCATTCATTCTGTATAACCAGATATCTGCATATAAATAAACAGACTCGATAGGCAAGAGAAAATATCCCCTTTTTATTGACTAATCACATTTGAGGACGTTTTGGAAGCTTGCATGTAAAGATTTTCCAAAAAGCAATCTTCAAAACCACTGACTACTGTCTAACATTAATTTGTCTTTTGCGTAATATAAAGGCCTTGCTTACTCAGAACCAGCTGTTTCCACCAACAGTTAAGACCTTGGTTTGAACTGTTTAACTTGTCCTCAAGCATACACAATAAATCCTGCTGCTCTCAGTGTGAAAATGCGTGCGTAAATAATTACCTTTGCTCAGACGAAGGAAAGTAATAGGACTTACCTTGGAAAAACGACACAAAGCTCATCCACAGCATCAACAATGAGTGGTCTTCCAGGAACTTTTTCGCTACACTTTGGTGTGAGAGGATGTTAATGAAATCACTAACTAGGGGCCAGTAGGTGTTGTTCTTCAATAGTGCTTCACTGCAGTTCACCACAACATGGCGATTGTTCTCTTCATCTAAAAAAGAAAGACAGCGAGACAGGAAACACTGACAATTGGAATCAAATTGTACTTAGGAATCTACAAGAAAATAAACATAAAGAAAGACATGGGTCAATGTGTTGTTTAAATCAACACCTGGCTGCTATTATAACTAGGGATGGGTATCGAAAAC